CCTTTTGCCCTTTAACTAAATGTGCTTTAATATCTCAATTCAGTTCAGTTGTCCTGATCTTTATCACAGTTCATAACAGAAAGTGAAATAGGAGAAAAACACCCTCAAAAAGACCAAGACTAAATCATATTCATACTACATTTTTAGATAGATATTCTCTTACACACTTAATTATACTTAGATATAGAAAGTTAATAAATCCCCTTTTACTTTCTCTATATTTTGCACTCCATACACTATCAACTCTCACTAGATCTCTATAATATCCCCCTTGTTTATATTCAATATAATCAATAGAATTGTCAGCTTTATATAGCAATAATATCGCTAATTCCTCTTATCCCTATGGCATTAAGTATGCGAACTATACAAAGCACAGTGATTATTATTCCAGCGTTTCCAATCAATGGTTGTCAGTTAACATTTTTAAGGAGAAACAGATTTTACAGAGACAAAAATTTTTCTTTACGTCTTCCTTGTTGCCTGCCCCCCCCCACTTCTTCACCCACTCTCCAAGCTTAGATGCAATTTTTCCTTTATAGTTTTATAGGTTCCTCTTATGGATTTTTAATTCACAAATATCCTATTATATTTCCAGATTTTCCTTTGATTATGGGTCTTCTCAGTATTCTGATGGTTCACTTGTATTTTAATTAAACAAATAGCCAGCAACAGACAGGAGAGGGGAGAAAGCACACCTCTAGCTCAGTCCAGTCTCCGTTCCTCACAAACAAGCTGGAGTGGAATGTCCTTCTTGCTTTGACAGTATCTAATTATAATCCAGTCCAATCTACAATCCAAATCATTCAATAATAGTCTCAACAGTTCTGGTGTTTGAATCCTTCCTTTACCCTTCTAACTTCTTCGTATCTGTTCACTTTCTCCTCCCCGAGTTTGCCAGCTTGTCTGTCTGTCTGCACGGCTTGTAATTTGGTTGCAGTCCGCCATTGTTATCAGTCACTAGCATGCTCCTCTTTAACAATGTAGCAAAAACGTATGATTCAAAGTTCACCAGTCTCCTGAGTCATCACCAAAAGCTATCCTTTAGGAAATCGCATGATGTTAGAATCATAGAGGAATAAAAGTGATGACTTATAGTGACACACACACACCCCGTCTAGGTATCAGAATTACCAAGAAAACAATAGATTTATTTGATGATAATTATATAAAAACTTGGAAAGAGATAAAAAAGGATTTGTATCGATGGAACAAAAAACAATTATCGTTCATAGGAAGGATCTCAACTCTCAAAATGGTAGTCTTACCAAAAATGCTCTTCTTATTTCAAATGATACCGATACTAGTTAAGGACAGTTTTTTAAAAAATATGGCATAGAGATATGAATAGTTTTATATGGCAGAACAAAAGACCTAGAATTAGATTAAAAGTATTACAAGATGCAAAAAAGAGAGGAGGATTAGGCGTACCTAATTTAAAAATATATTTTGAAGCATGCTGTCTTACTTGGATTAGAGAATGGGTAATATTGGAAAATGAAGAAATATTAGAATTGGAAAGGGATGCTCTTTGTTATGGATAGCACTCTTTTTTTATCTAGGATATGGGAAAATTAAGGCAAACAAAGACTTTAATAATCACTGTATAAGGAGAGTGCTAATTCGGGTCTAGAACAAATATAAGGAAAGAGTGATGCCAAAATTTCCCTTATGGTTTTTGCCTCAGGAAGCAATTTAAAGAAACGAGACAAAGAACGAATTGGCTAACTTATGCAAAATTACTAGAGAAAGAGGAATCGGGTGAATATAAACTGAAAACACAAGAGGAACTAAAAAAAGAGGGATTTATGTTGAATTGGTTTAGATTTAGACAAATTAAGGAATGTTACAAGAAAGATCTATCAAACCAGGGAATCGAATTGAAAATGAACGAGTTTGATAAAATCTGGCTAGGAAAAAAGAGGAAATGGATTGGAAACTTTTATAAACTATTACTGAAATGGGAGTTAGAAGATGAGGTAGTAAAGCACTGTATGATTAAATGAGCAAAAAATTTTGGACACCCAATAGAATTGGAAAAAATGGGAATATGTTTGGAAAAGGGGAATAAAACATATGGTATCACAGAACTTAAAAGAAAATTACTACAAAACCTATTTTCATTGGTATCTATCTCCAGAAAAGATCTCAAAAGTATATAAAAGTAGAAGTAATCTCTGTTGGAAGTACGGCAAAGAAGTAGATACATGATATCATTGCCTATGGTTGTGTGAGGTAATTAAAAAGTATTGGAAGAAAGTAAATGAAACCATAAATTACATACTACAGAGAAAAATACAAGTACAACCTGAAATCTTTCTGTTAAATATGTGGGATAAATATTTGGATAAAATATCGGAAAAATCTTCTTTTACTTAATAACCACAGCTAGAATAACTTTAGTACAAAAATGGAAATCAAAAACTACCCCGAGTATTAAAGAGTGGAAACTTAAATTATATGATTCAATAGAAATGGACTTACTTACACAGTATTTGAGAGATAAAACTGTAGACGAAGAAACTAAAGAATGGTTAGCAATATAGAGAGAGAGAGAGAGTGTAGAGTATCAATTAGCTGTAGCTTAAATTAAAGGAATTAAATAATTATTAAACAGAATACAAGACTACTTAGCTTCCCCTTTAATATTAAATTATTACCAGTAGTAGAGTAAGGCAAATATGAGATGGTTGAGAATGGAATGAGATTTATTAAAGAAGAGTATAAAGAGCACAAAGAATTTAGATAGGGGAATAATTATAATAAGATAATACAGTTGACCATTTAATAATAACTAATGTAAAGGTTATAGTTCTTAAATATCAGATACAGATGTTAAACACATTTGGATGAACAAAATAGTTAGGCAACAATATATCAAATAGCTACCAAATATAGTAATAACACAACACAATGTAATTACACAACTTTAGGTAAAGGGGGATAAGAAGGATAAATATTGAAACCAGTTAGGTCAAGGATGGAAGTTAGTATGTATGTAAGAATGTAAGAAGGTGAAAGTTTGAGTTTGTAAATGAAGGTATCTGGGGATAGATTGAAAAAGAAGGTATTAGGAAGTTGAAGAGAGTGAGAGAATGTGATAAGAATGGAAGAGTAGTGGAGAGAGGAAGGGATGAGAGTAAGAAGGGATAGGAGAAGAGCTAGAATGGAAAGGATTGGAATGGAAGAGAAGGAGGGAATGGAAAGAGAAGAAGGAAGAGGACGGAATGTTAAGTGAAGATGGTAAAGGTAGAAGATGACATAGATGCTGCATCACACTGTTGATTCATGTTTAGCTTGTGGTTTACTAAGACTCCATTTGATTCCTTTCAAATGTACTACTGTCAAGCCAAATGTCATCCATCATATACTGATTCACTTCAGTTTTTCTACCTAGCTTGCATTTCTTCCTGTTGACATTCATTTTGTTAGTTCTGGCCTAGCTCTCTAATCTGTTATGGTCATTTTGAATGCTGATCCTATCTTCTGCAGTATTAGCTACCCCTCTTAATTTTGTGTTATCTGCAAATTTGATAAGCATGCTCTCTGTTCTTTCATCCAAGTCACTGAAGAGGAGTCATTGAAGAGGGACCACTATAGAGCACCTTTTGGGTTCAGTCCATCAACCAACTACAAATCCACCTAACAGTCACATTGTCTAGTCCAAATTTTACAAGCTTTCTTTGCAAGAATATCATGAGGGGG